GGGCCGTGCTAGGGGCGACGGGCCGGCCTAGGGGCGACGGGCCTAGGGGCGACGGGCCGTGGTGACAGGCCAAGGGGCGATGGGCCGGGGCGACAGGCCGAGGGGCAATGGGTGACGGGCCGGGGCCTGGGCCTAGGGGCCTAGGGGCGACGGGCGTAGGGGCGACGGGCCGAGGGGCGACGGGCTAGGGGCCGGGGCCTAAGGGCGTCGAGCGACGGGGCCGGGCCTAGGGGAGCGACGAGCGACGAGGGCGACGGGCCTAGGGGTGGCGGGCGCGAGCGACGGGCCGGGGGCCGGAGTCTAGGGGCGACGGGCGTAGGGGCGACGCGCGACGGGCGACGGGCGTAGGGGCGACGCGCGACGGGCGACGGGCCGGGACCGGGGCCTAGGGGCGTTGGGCGCGAGCGACGGGCTAGGGGCGACGGGCGGGAGCGACGGGCCGGGGGCCGGGGCCTAGGGGCGACGGGCCGAGGGGCGACGGGCCTAGGGGCGACGGGCGCGAGCGACGGGCCGGGGCCGAGAGCTAGGGGCGACGGGCGCGGGGCGACGGGCCGGGGCCTAGGGGCTACGGGCGACGGGCCGTGCCGAACGTCGAGAGAAGGGCCGCACGAGGGCGGCGCGCAGGGTAGCAGGTGGTGGGCCCAAGGTTCGTAATCACTCTAATACCATGTCAGAATCCCAACCACTAGACCATTGGGATAAAATGACTTGTTTGTATGGCGGGTTTGTGCGCCCATAACCCCCCAGGCGAAAGCGCCTGTAACCCCCCGTAGGATCGATCGGGCATCCACAGTGCAGATCTGCTGACACCCCCCCACACTGGGAGGCCCAGGATTGAGCACAGCGGCAACGGCCTACATATACACCGGGATTCGAACCCGAGACCGCTCTGATACCATGTTAAGATAGCATAGGGTGTGAGCTAGGCAAGTGTCGAGAGAGTTGAGATAGCAAGGAAGAAGTGATGCACTAAGAGAAAAAAACGTACAAGATATAGGAGCGAGAGATGGCAAAGGGTGCACCACCTACAGGGACTAAAACAGTAACTACACTACAGCTATAACTATATGCAGTTATACAGAAATATATATATATATATATGATATATTCTGACAGGTGGTGCGGTCGCGAAAGAAGCACTGGGACTCGCTGCGGTCTATTATGAAAGAGAGGGACGATTTGGCAATCGTTGCACCTAGGCAGGAAACAGCAGAGGAGCCTACACTAGAGACAGTTAGAGAACCTAGTTTAGGTACACACGAGTAATAAGATATGGCAACACTAGGTTGAGAGCTGGGGCGATGCACACCCCTCAAAGTTGGGGGGACTACCACATCAGTGGTGGCAACGTCTTGATATTAGTTAGACTAGTATAAAAGATATCGATAGAGCGGCGCATGTGGTGCATGGCGAGGAGGGCCTCAGTGGCAGGCGGGAGGCGGTCAGGGAGGCGGGTCGTGAGGAGGTGCATGGTGAGATACATAGGGGGGGCGTGCTTAGCAAGGTCCTCAGCAGTGCAAGCGGCGCAGAAGCTAGTGTGAAGCGAGCGCAGGTGAGTAATGAGGTCCGCGAAAGTGGAGAACGCAGGGAGATAAGGGAAGAGGAAAGGCATGACGAGGCACCCTAGAGTAGCCGAGAAGGGAGTGGAGTAGCGAGCAACAATAGCATCAAGACACTCCTTCGTCGTCGCGACCTGGCGAAAGTGCACTTGCTCGGCCGGCGACAGGATGCAACCAAAGGCAAGGTGCGTAGAAGCGCCACTTGACACCCAAACTGAGTACGCAAGCTGGGCCTTGCGATGAGCCTCCTGCTCCCCCGAGGTGGACTCCGCAGTTAAGGCAGGAGGACACTCCGGGGCTGGTATTTCATCCAACATGTACATGTAGACGTTATCCAGACGCTGGCTCTGCAGATGGAGCTAGACGCCGAGCAGTCACCCCTCAAAGTCGATCGCCTGCCCCTCCGAATCGAGTCGCAGTACAAACCCAGACGCCATAACAGTAGCGTCCAGGGGCACAACTGCAGTGAATGAGAGGGGACAACCACATGCGGAGGAGATGTTCCGAGGAGGGCGGTTAGAACCAAACCCTAAACCCTAAAACGTGGCTGCATGGACGGCCGATAGGTCCGGCCGGAATGCGTGGCGGTGAGAAAGCGTGCGGCATTGTGGCGGCTGCAGGCCCTACAGACACGGTAGGCGCAACGAGCGGCAGGGTGCGCGGTAGGCACAGTGGGTGCGGCAAGGGGTAGCAGGCACGGCAAGGTGCGTGACAAGGGGGGGGGGGGGTTCTCTACTGGGCCGCTTAAAGGGGGGGAGGTTAAGGGAGGGTTCGCTAGAGGGGGTCGTGAGGGCACGAACAACTAAGGAGGGTGGATGGGCGGAAGCTAATGACCTAACATAGCATGATACAATGTTATAAAATGATAAAGTAGACCCATGAAGGGCACATATGGGGGTAGATTGTTGAATAGTAAGGGTAGGGCCTAGGCTTAGTGGCCTAGGCCAAAGGGAGTCGAGAGAGTTTAGCCAAAAGGAGAGGAGAATGAAGCTCACTATAGCACTAGGGTACATATAGCAAACAAAGGATGCAAAGAAGGTGCACCACCAACAAGTTTATAATAACTACACTAACTACAGCTACAGGCAGTTACAGATATATTCTAACACTCCCCCATAACTGCCTGCAGCAGGAGTCTGTGCAGCGACACATCCTGGATGGGTACACCACGAACTGAGAAAACAACAACAGCAGGCAAGGTAACAAAGCAGGTACAGCAGCAAAGGGGCAGGCACTCCTGCCACCCCTTTACTCTCCTCCCCCCCCCCCCCCCCACCTCAGAGGGACGGGGGCTGGATGTCTCACACCCGCCACCCCAATGCTACTCCCCTGGCTCCCCCACACCCTCACACCCTCCCCCCAGCGGCAGCTGCAGCAGTGGGAACGAAAGGAGGAGGAGGGGAAGGGAAACACACCACCCATCACCCCCATACCCGCCACCTCCATACCCTCCCCCCCACGGCTGCACGCGCAGCAGGGAGAAGAAGGAGGAGGGGGGGGGGGGGGGGTGGCGGGGAAGAAGCCGCCCCACGGCCACAGAGGGGTGGCGCACAGGGAAGGGCAGGGGCGGCTACACCGAGTGCAGGCGCATGTGAGGCAGAGGCGCCGTCGCTGGCGCCAGGGGCAGGTCCGCAGAAGCTCAGGACACCGTCGCGGGCGTCAGGGGCGGGTCCGCGGCGGCTCAAGGCACCGTCGCGGGCGCCAGGGGCGGGTCCGCGGCGGCTCAGGGCACCGTCGCGGGCGCCAGGGGCGGGTCCGCGGCGGCTCAGGCCACCGTCACGGGCGCCAGGGGCGGGTCCGCGGCGGCTCAAGGCACCGTCGCGGGCGCCAGGGGCGGGTCCGCGGCGGCTCAGGGCACCGTCGCGCGCCACGGGGCGCACGACGGGCAGGCAGGCAGGCAGGCAGACGCCGCGCGCCCGGGGCGCACGGCGGGCAAAAAACCGCCGTGCGCCCCGAGCACACGGCGGGCAGAAAATCGCCGTATGCCCGAGGCGCGCGACAGGACGACAGGCAGCGGAAGCAAACTGGTGGGCCCGTAAAGGAAGGCAGCAGGAAGGTGCCTGCTCTGAATACCATGTCAAATAGTAAGGGTAAGGCCTAGGCTTAGTGGCCTAGGCCAAAGGGAGTCGAGAGAGTTTAGCCAAAAGGAGAGGAGAATGAAGTTCACTATAGCACTAGGATACATATAGCAAACAAAGGATGCAAAGAAGGTGCACCACCAACAAGTTTATAATAACTACACTAACTACAGCTACAGGCAGTTACAGATATATTCTAACATAGATATAACATAATATACCCTCTATAGCATAAGCCAAACTAACCTACAGAAGTGCACATGTAAACATTTATGTATACGTTGACATGATGTCGTGTGAGACATGATATGTGCATGATATTCCCCCTTGTAAAAATTTACGGTAGTATACATTTGACAGGAGGAGAGGAGGTGCGTTAAAAACAAGAAAAAAATTGGCATGCATGGTCTCGGTCTTCGGAATTCCCGAACAGAATCAGCCTCTGTTCTTGTTCGCACTAGTAAACTGGTTTCGCCAAGTCTGAAAACCTGTCAAATGTCTACTGTCCCTTTTAAGGCAATTTTATATACACATCAATGTACTCGACTGTATACCGCGAATATTCTGCTTGCGAGCTCAGCGATGTCATACGATTCATCGCTGCAGTCGCTGGCCGCTGTCTCCGCCTTCTGGTAACATCACGCCCCATCAGAATGGTGCGTGCGACCATGAAACAGAACCCAAGCCCGTCGCATGTGCGAGCTTCCCCATACGTCTACATCGCACGTCACGGAAAAGGCCAAGCAGCACTCCCCCAACTGCCATTTTTTCACTCCTTCGCGCCTCACTTGCCTCGACCCGTCAGGGTTTCGTTGGTTCGGCTTCAGCCTTCGCTCTAGTCCCCCGCTTATGTCCCTCTCCTTCCCCTTTCTACTCTCGTTTATGTCCCTCTCCTCCCCTCTCCGCTCTGAACAATCCTCACAAGCAACATTCCCCTCACCGCTCTCACACCTGTAGCCAGCAGCAAGATAGGAAGGTCGGTTGTTAGGTTTTCTGATCCGTTCAGGACGGGGAGGAAGCAGGGAGTTCGTGAACTGAGCTTAAGATAGAACGTTAGTCTGCTTCGCTTGCCTCCCTGCTTGGTAGACAGGGACGCAGGAGGAGTCGAAAATGAGTACAGCGAATAAGTTTATCAAATGCGTTACTGTAGGGGATGGTGCGGTCGGTAAAACGTGCATGCTGATCTCCTACACGAGCAACACTTTTCCTACTGTAAGTCAGCCGAGCTGACCGACGTCTAACGAGCTGTATTGGCTAACATTTAGCATGCGTAAGATTGTTTTCGAAGTCTTAGACATTTTTCTTAGTGGCGTCTCGGCTTGGCGAACATTGAGTCGATTTGTGATGGTTATCGCTGGTGCAGGATTACGTTCCTACCGTCTTTGACAACTTCAGTGCCAATGTGGTGGTGGATGGCCAAACTGTCAACTTGGGACTCTGGGATACAGCAGGTTAGTCACAGTCCCTAGAGATTATTAGCCGCTGCGTCCCTAGCGACCGTTAGGCCCTTCTCCGTTAGTGACCATTAGGCACTGCTCTTTTCATTCAGGCACCAGCGGAAATTTCGTTTGTTTGTTTGTTTGTTTTTTTACGGTTGGTTTCCTACGCACTTGCATCTTGAATGCTTTCGTTTAGTTACTGGTCCGATCTACTGCAACCAGATGTACTCATGACGGTTCGATAAATTGAATCGCTTCTGTGTTGTTCATACTTGTCCTTATCCTCCTTGTTTCACATGTCATCAGGTCAAGAAGACTATAATAGACTACGCCCTCTGAGCTACAGAGGTGCTGACGTCTTTCTTCTTGCGTTCTCGCTCATCAGCAAAGCTAGTTATGAGAACGTCTCGAAGAAGGTGGGCCTTTCGTGTTCCTCTAAAAAATTGCAACGCAACCTGCGGGAGATAGCTTCCAGGTTTATGTTGCATACGTGCCATGCCCCTGTGCTTCGCTGGTGGCCGACAAGCCTATCGGAAAGGAAGTCGGAGATGTTTGTCTTAGCAATGCGGTTGTGTTTTTTCTTTTTTTGCCGTCGTACACTCACTATATATGCTCGTGAAGCTACTCCACGCCGCCTGCGAACATAGGTTATTGGAAAGATCTATTCCGAAGCGAACATAGCCGACCGACATAACCTCATCTCTTCGATTTCTTCCCTACTGTCTGAATGTTGAGCAGTGGATACCAGAATTGAGGCATTACGCTGCGACCGTTCCGATTGTCCTCGTCGGCACAAAGCTAGGTCAGCTTGTCAAGCTTGATTTGCTCAGATGATCTAGGTCTGGTGACGTTCGCGTGAGCTTCCTTGGCTTTAGTTGGGCTGGAGAGGCAGGTTGTTCATATATCCTTTGCCTCACTAGCTGACGTCAACTATTTTCCTTCCCTTCCCTGACCACTTTCATGTTATCCGTTGGGTACAGATTTACGAGATGATTCACAATTTTTCAAAGAGCACCCAGATGCAACGCCGATCAGCACAGCTCAGGTACTGTGGTTTTCTTTCGACCATGTGCTGGGATTTGCAGGCGGCAATAGCTTCATGTCGTTCCGCCTGTTTTGTCCAAGGGCCTATTCCTTATGGTTGTTTATCTGATCTGCGACTTCAGGGCGAGGAGTTGAAGAAGGTGATTGGTGCAGCAGCTTACATTGAGTGCAGCTCGAAGACGCAGCAGGTTCGTCAAGGCTATTTTTTTTGTGTGTATTTCTATTTATTCATTCAGTTTCGTTTCGTTTTCCCGAGCAGGACGTTTTTCATTGCCATATATTTCTCACGTGTTCCTGCCATTTCTTTGTTGATGTCACTTGGTAGTCTGTTCCCAGCACTTGAAAGCGTTGGTAAGCCTTTCTTTAGTGACCTTCAGTGCTGGATTCGAAAACTATCCGGAGGGGAATCGGGTCATGAGCTGCCTTGTGTCGAGCACTCATACACAAGCTTGAATGTGATGGCATTTCTGCTCTTTGCCATGTTTTGACCTGTTAACGTACCCGTGCAGAATGTGAAGGCTGTCTTTGACACGGCTATCAAGGTGGTGTTGCAGCCACCAAAGGCGACGAAGACGAAGAAGAAGAGCGGGAAGTGTGTTATCAGTTAAGCCACAGGGTACCTTGCAACCATGACCATCCATACTTTCTCTTCATCCTTGTTCACTTATTTCATCAGCTGGTGGCCGAGCGATTTGCTGGCTCAGGTGCGCTGCAGGATGGTGGACTAATATTCTTATGGCCATTCTGAGTTCTCAAGAGGCATGCAGCTGTAGATGAAGTCATTGTGAGCCGGTCGATAGGATTGACAGTGAAATGGTGAGGGGAAACGGTGGCAGAGTAAGCAGACTGTGTCGTGGGGTTGAGCTGCGGAGGGGTGTCAGGTTTTTAATAGTAGGGTTAAAAGGGGTTAGGTTTAGGGATTTTACTTTATTTGTTATTATGGGTCAACTGCAGCATGCTTGTGATGGATCCCTTGGGCAGGCTAGCATTGTTTTAGTCCTAAACCGATGGCAAGGCTGGCTGATTTTCACTCTGCCTTGCACTGTAGGCTATAACAATTTGTATGATTCTTATGAACCCCGGTATTAGCCGTTACAGTGTCCCGAACACCACAGCCTTCGCTTCGACCAGGCCTCAAGGTTCGGACTGATTGAAGCTCTAGCTTTGGCATGTCTCGTGTCATGGTAACCACATCGGTAGTCTCCAGGTGATTATTGACTGGAGTGTTTTCTCTGTGGCTGCGGGAAGGCGAACATCTGACCGAATGGTTTGTCGGTGAAGCTAGCCAGCCGTGGCATTGAAAAGCTTCAGCTTGGAGCCGGCAGGGAGACATATAGTTCAGTTTTGGCTCTAACCCCAATCAACCACTCTGAACTTCGGAGTAAACGATTTGCTACAAATATCTTACCCAACCGTGTTGTACCGTACTTATCTCTCACGTCACGACACAGCCCTAACACCGTGAATTGCACTGTAGGTTGGTAGTTCAGTCCAACCGAGTTAAGGATTTCACTCGTCTGTACCCAAGCCCTTGTGGATCTGCCTGAATTGTCGATGCGTGTACTCTCACTGTGACATTTTGTGGAGTTCTCAAGGTTGATGCACTTCTCGTTCCTCCCCTTGGTCGCTTTGCGCGAAGACGATGTAAATCTCCCCAGCAAGTAGTCGTCGTTCCCTTAGCCGCTCTCCGACTAATCGTCTAACAATAGGACAGACCTGTTGACTGCAAAGTGCTACCACGCTAGGCTGATTCACAGAGGGTGATTCACTCTTAATCTCCGGGTCTAAGACTCTGTTTAAGTTTCTGTTATTAGATTTGGCACTGCAATGACATTACTCGACGTGTCGGCGGAAGCCGTACACGCAGCAACCCCTGCGAGTGCACAGGAAGACACTGAGGCCGTTCTGCAAAAGGGTTGCGGCGAGTACGGGTGCGTTGACTATCGCCTATTATCGATTCAGTCTTTTATTGTTCCTTTTTTTGTGTCCTGTTCCCGGGGTTACGTCCGACCAAATCGAACGGAAACGAGTGTAATTAGATTTGCATAGGGAGGCTGTAAGTGTGCCTTTTTGTTTTCCTTCAGATGTTCACACTACCGGAGAAGATGCAAGATCAAGGCTCCGTGCTGTAATGAGGTGTTCGACTGCCGGCACTGCCATAACGATGCCAAGGTGCCGACCCTGCTGATACACTGGACAGTCTGCTGTATTCGATGCTGATCTCCTCAAACGGATATGTCTGATGTCTTGTAACGAAGCGTTTCCGTGGGTGACGTGACGAGTCAGTCTGGTCAGATTTGGCCGTCTTGGCCGGCTATCATGTTACTGATCTGATTGAATATTTGCGTTTGTGTGTGAGCAGAGTCACTCAGAGGACAAAAGTCGACATGAGATCGCGCGGCACAATATCGAGCGGGTATGCCTGAGCGAGAACTGGAGGAAGTTTCAATCATTCTTGCGTTCCCCGACGTGCCTGTTTTTTTTTTTTTTTTTCCGGTTCTTCTGTCGTTTTATCCCCATTCGTGGTATGTGCTCATTTGAACCTTCGTGCTGACCGGAGAGCTTTGTCATCCTGCTTTTTGTGCTCGTTTTTCTTGTTGCAGGTAGTTTGCTCCTTGTGCTCGACCGAGCAAAAGGTGAGGTGCACAGATTCTCTCCTATTTCTCACGGACGAATCATGATTTGATTGCACACGGATGAGTTTCATTAAATTTCAGGTCCTCACGATGGAACGTGTTTTGTGCAAGCCTTCGGAAGCATGTGGGAGAAAGTGTGACATTGTGGAAGGAACGGAGAGCCGTCTTTGTTCGTCATTTTTACTCTCAAATGCCCTGTTTCTTTGCCATTGTTCACCTTTTCTTCTTCCTTGGTTGGTTCCTCAGGTGCAACAAGTATGCGAGGCATGCGGCGTGTGCATGGGACGGTATTTCTGCTTCAAGTGCAAGTTCTATGATGACGAGGTATGTCATGTGATTCACATTAAGTCATGGTATAGATAGCTCAGCTAACTCAAGCTTTCATCTGCACCTGCTTGGTTTTTGAGCCAACTTTAAAAGTTCGATAAGCTGCGGTTACTGAAGCTCTGATTTCCTTGTGCAGGTTGCAAAGAAGCATTTCCACTGTGACGAGTGCGGCATTTGCAGAGTTGGTGGCAAGGACAAGTTTTTCCACTGCGACAAGTGCGGTAAGTGCAGGTTCAATGTGATATATGCAGCTTCAGTGCTGTGCGTGCTGTGCATGCAGGTTACCTTTCTCACTGTCGCCACCTGCTTACTCTTGGTTTATTGTTGTGTTGCCCTAGCTCGCCGTCCCATGCACTGCCAGCCACCGTACACTTCTCTGCCACCATACGCCTATCCGCCACGCCGGCTGCTTCGTGCGATTTTTGAGTCTATTAAAATCAGAGAACCATTTGTTGACTCGCTACCCCTTTCTCTAACTCGCTACCCGTTGCACTGCCACCCTTCTCTGGCATCACACCTGTATCCGTGCAGGCTGCTGCTACGCCACGTCATTGAGAGAGGACCACCGCTGTGTGGAGAAATCCATGCATCACAACTGCCCTGTGTGCTTCGAGGTGAGCTGTTTCCGTTTGAGTTGCTCTGGAGACCCTGGTGCTGCATGACTGTGACATATGCTCTGGCTGACATGCCTTTTGCTGTGCGAGTGACAATATCTTTTATTCTCTACTTAACCTGCCCCTGCTGCCTGCCTGCACTGCACCCACACCCCTCTGGCAGTTTCTCTTTGAGTCGCTCCGAGAGACCTCGGTGCTGCGGGAGTGTGGGCATACAATCCACACAGAGTGCCTGGACGAGCTTCGGAAGCACAACAGGTGAGTGAGGGATGTGAACGAGGGTTTTAGTGGGGAGGTGTAACTCAAAATAGGATGGGAATGGAGGAAAAGGGGTATGGGTGCCATCCTTACCATCCTTGATTGAAGAATTGTTGATATTGCTGAGTATTTGTGAAATCGTGTGTGTGTGTGTGTGTGCGCGCGCGCGCGCGTGCGTGTATGTGTGTGTGTGCATGCATGTGTGTGTGCAGGTATGCGTGCCCCATCTGTTGCAAGACCATGTTTGACATGTCCCGAGTGTGGGCGCAGCTGGATCAGGAGGTGAGCACAGGCAGAAAGACCATACTGTTTACACGAAATATGTGATATTGATTTCAGGCGTTGCAATGCGAGACAGGTTGTAAGCACAGGCAGAAGCAGGGGATGATCCTGTCCAATTCAGATGCTACTGTTGATCTGTGAATGGTGCTCCAATGTTGGCTTCAAGTATTTTTGGAAACTACTCAGATTTTGTTTTCCCTGGCCTGCCTTTGTGTGATGCCATGGCAGGTTGCTGCAACACCCATGCCAGAAGCGTATCAAAACCAGATGGTAACTGTTTTACGCTCCCGCATGCCTGTGCCTCATGCCATTTCGACACTCTGCTCCTCCAGTTCCCCATATAATGTTCCACTTCTTATTTGTGTTCTTCAGATTCTTCCACTTCCTTCCTCTTCGCTCCGATTTTTCCTTCGAAATTCTGAAGCATTTTGAAACGTCACCTGTTTGTTCCCTGTGACCACCTTTTTTCCCTGAACCTCTTCAGTCGCCTATCCTGTGCAATGACTGTGGGGGCAGCGGTTCTGTGCCATTCCATGTGGTGGGGCACAAGTGCCCGCATTGCGGCTCCTACAACACCCGCCAAACACAGTAGCGCACGGTGCAGCACACCGGGCGGCATGGCTTGGCGTTTAGGACGGCGAGTGGAATGCTACCAACTGACATGGTGCTTTCTGCACCACCATGCAGTGCTGTAGTGCAGACACAGGGGCCATTGGGCAAGTGAGTGGGACTATTGCTAGCTGCACCACTCCAACCACCACCCCAGCCACCATCACCTCAACCATTCCCCCAGCCACCCTCCCAGTTATCCCCCAGCCACCACCTCACCTATTCCCCTAGCCACCCCCCTCATGCTAGCCACCCCCCTCATGCTAGCCACCATCCCAGCCACCATCCCAGCCACCATCTTAGCCACCATCCCAGCCACCATCCCAGCCACCATCCCAGCCACCATCCCAGCCACCATCCCAGCCACCATCTTAGCCACCATCCCAGCCACCATCCCAGCCACCATCCCAGCCACCATCCCAGCCACCATCCCAGCCACCATCCCAGCCACCATCCCAACCACCATCCCGGCCACCATCCCGGCCACCATCCCAGCCACCGTCGCCCAGCCATCACCACAGCCCAAGCCATCAGCGCCACCACCATCCCTGTCACGATTCAATGCACTCATGTACAGGCATCATCATCTGAGCCAATCAGAGCAGGCCTCAGCTGTACCTTATCTCACTAGAGCAGACTTCAATTGCATGATCACCGGCAGCATGGAGAACCTTCAGAGTCATGCTGACATTCTATTATACGAAATGTTGATATTCGAGCGTTGGAATTTGGAAATGCTGCAGCTATGGCTGTCATGCCGGCAATGCAGGCGCAGGCAAGCATTTTGCTGGCTTGTAAGCTGTGAATGGAATGTTGAAGTTGCTGCGAGCTTTTAGGGTGTCTAAACAAGACCTTATCCTGGAGCCATGATGAAGCCGGCCAGTGAAGCTGATTTGCTCTGCTTTTTCTGTGATGCTGTTGCATCTTGATTTACACTACTGGGCAATCGTCCAACATGTGAAGCTAAAACTGGAGAAGGCCACGGGCGAGGTCAAAACGGGTGGAGGTGGCTGCAAGACAAAAGCGCGCTACCGGCTTGAACCACCGACCTTATGGTTAACAGCCATACGCTCTAACCAACTGAGCTACGAGAGCTGTTACTTGTGAGTAACAAAAAATCAATTAGTCTATGTATTGTTTACAGTAGCAGCCTCCAATCTGTCTTCTTGGTTAGCAGCATTACTCGCAGCCATGTGGGAGGAAGGCGTGGTGCTCCACGGCGGGCGAAAGCGATGGCGCCACGGCAGAGCTCGCGAGGACGGCGTGCCGCAGTACATTCACGATCGCCTCATGTTACTGTGTTATGAAAATGACCCGCTACACCTCACCCCCGCTATAGACAACCACAGGTCCGCGAATCCCTCTGAATCTCTCCTCTTCTGTTCGGTTCGACTGCTCTGCTTCGACCATTGAGCTCTGACTCGCACATGTGTGGCTCATTGTTCCTCGCGAAAAGGAAGCCGCCAGGCCCGTCGCGGAAGGGGTATCCGAGGCGTTCCCTTTCCTCGACGGCCCACATTCCCATTGGTTTAGAACGACTCAAATCCAAACATTCTTGGAGTCAGAGACGTCTCAAATCCAGTCTAAACTAGCCTCCCCTTCTTCCAAACCCTTGCTCCCATGGGGTAACCGATCGAGCCATCATTGATGGGTGGAAGCACTCCCATGGAAACACTCCTGATGTTCGATGCACATCATTGATGGAAGCAACGCGATGATCAATCAATGCTCAATTGTCCAGACTTGTCTAGTTTTCTCCGCATTCGTTAATTTCTGCCTTCTCCACCACTCAGCACTCCACTCTCTTCTCTTCCCCCTTTCCCGTCTACGAAGGTGCATGAGGGTGATGACAGAGTCAGCACGCACACTTTCATCATCCCAATATTCCCCATTGACCACAACTACTCTGCCAATGTGCTGCTGCTGAAGTTTTCACCACCCCCCACCACTCATCACCCCTCACCATCCCCACCAAATCCATGCCTTGTCGCACCCACCCCACCACCCCCCTCTCCCAACCAAAGGTACATCGGGGTGATGACGGAGGCAGAGCGCATATTCGCTCACAACTACTCAGCTGATGTACTCCTGCTTAACTCCTCACACCCCTCACCACCCGTTCAAACAGGTACATTGGGGTGATGACGGAGGCAGCGCGCATATTTGCGCACAACTATTCAGCTGACGTACTGCTGCTTAACTTCGGCCGGCCCCTTCCTGATGCCGAGCTCTACTCGCTCTTCAACAAGAATGTGTGCGAGGTAATGGGCGGTGGTGAACGGTGGTGAGGGATGATGAGAGGTGGTAATGGGTGGTGAGCGGTTGTGATGGGTAATGCGCGGTAGTGAAGGGTGGTGATGGGTATGAGAGGTGGTGAGGAGTGGTGAGAGGTGGGGAGAGCGCTCCTCCTACCTGATGCCAACCTCTACTCGCCCTTCTCCAGGTACCTGTGCGATTGGCCCCTTGGGATTACCATTAAAAAAGAAACCCCGTTGGAATTTCCCATGGGGATTGCCCATTAAGATTACCTCCTTGGGGTTGCCTCCTTGGGATCGTCCCCTTGGATTTCGTTTTCAAAAGCGTCTTGCACTGCATGCTACTCTACGCTACTCCCTCTGATCAGTCACTACCCCACCTTCCCCTGTGTGAGCAGCTGGGAGCGCCTTGGGACTGGCCTAGAGGCCCTATGGTGTGTCCTCTCGACGTCATCTTTCGATCCTGCTCCACCATGCACACATGGTAATATCATGCAAAGCCAATGTTCGTTTGCTTGTTTGTTGTTGTTGTTGTTGTTGTTTTGTTTTGTTTTGTTTTTTTTTTTTTCATTGTTGTCCAGGAACCCTAGACAGCCGATGAGGCGTGTGATAATAAATCGAAGCGACTTTTGAGTCTGACTTAAAGGTCACCGAACAGACTACGACCAACAGAGAAGTCCACTCCGCCTTCTTCCCTCTTCCTTCCACTCCCGCTCTCCCTCCTCCTCCTCTCTCTCTCAGGCTCTCAGCAGATGACAGTCACGTGGCAGTGTTGCACACTCAAGGCGGCACAGCTTTGTGTCACTGACATCGGCTGCTGCCGTCTCTCACTCCTCTCTGCGGCACTCAACCCCACCTCTCAGGCTCAAAACGGGTGCTGATTTCATGGCAGTGCTGCATGCACACTCGCAGCCTCAACAGCAGAGTTGATTGCATCACTCTGTCTCCTTCCACTTCTGCTCTCGCCTTTCCCCTCCCACCAGGCTAGCAGCAGACGGCGACCATGTGGCAGTGCTACACACGCGCGCAGCCCCGACAGTCTCAGTCTGCCTTTGTCTACTTTTGGTCCTCTTGTCTCTCAATCCCCCTCCCAGGCTCGCAGCAGACGACGACCATGTGGCAGTGCTACACACACGCAGCTCCAGCAACGCGGGGGGAGCATGCTTCCTCCGCTTCATTGCTGCATGCTCCCTCTCCCACAGGTACTCGCGCCCTTCTCACGAGTACTGTGTGACACTGTAACGAGGTGTGACACTGTAACGAGGTGTGACACTGTAACGAGGTGTCACACTGTAACGAGGTGTCACACTGTAACGAGGTGTGACACTGTAACGAGGTGTGACACTGTAACGAGGTGTGACACTGTAACGAGGTGTGACACTGTAACGAGGTGTGACACTGTAACGAGGTGTCACACTGTAACGAGGTGTCACACTGTAACGAGGTGTGACACTGTAACGAGGTGTGACACTGTAACGAGGTGTGACACTGTAACGAGGTGTGACACTGTAACGAGGTGTGACACTGTAACGAGGTGTGACACTGTAATGAGGTGTGACACTGTAATGAGGTGTGACACTGTAACGAGGTGTCACACTGTAACGAGGTGTCACACTGTAACGAGGTGTGACACTGTAACGAGGTGTGACACTGTAACGAGGTGTGACACTGTAATGAGGTGTGACACTGTAATGAGGTGTGACACTGTAATGAGGTGTGACACTGTAACGAGGTGTCACACTGTAACGAGGTGTGACACTGTAACGAGGTGTGACACTGTAACGAGGTGTGACACTGTAACGAGGTGTGACACTGTAACGAGGTGTGACACTGTAACGAGGTGTGACACTGTAACGAGGTGTGACACTGTAACGAGGTGTGACACTGTAACGAGGTGTCACACTGTAACGAGGTGTGACACTGTAACGAGGTGTGACACTGTAATGAGGTGTGACACTGTAATGAGGTGTGACACTGTAATGAGGTGTGACACTGTAATGAGGTGTGACACTGTAATGAGGTGTGACACTGTAACGAGGTGTGACACTGTAACGAGGTGTGACACTGTAATGAGGTGTGACACTGTAATGAGGTGTGACACTGTAATGAGGTGTGACACTGTAATGAGGTGTCACACTGTAACGAGGTGTGACACTGTAACGAGGTGTGACACTGTAACGAGGTATGACACTGTAACGAGGTGTGACACTGTAACGAGGTGTGACACTGTAACGAGGTGTGACACTGTAACGAGGTGTGACACTGTAACGAGGTGTCACACTGTAACGAGGTGTCACACTGTAACGAGGTGTGACACTGTAACGAGGTGTGACACTGTAACGAGGTGTGACACTGTAACGAGGTGTGACACTGTAACGAGGTGTGACACTGTAACGAGGTGTCACACTGTAACGAGGTGTCACACTGTAACGAGGTGTGACACTGTAACGAGGTGTGACACTGTAACGAGGTGTGACACTGTAACGAGGTGTGACACTGTAACGAGGTGTCACACTGTAACGAGGTGTCACACTGTAACGAGGTGTGACACTGTAACGAGGTGTGACACTGTAACGAGGTGTGACACTGTAACGAGGTGTGACACTGTAACGAGGTGTGACACTGTAACGAGGTGTGACACTGTAATGAGGTGTGACACTGTAATGAGGTGTGACACTGTAACGAGGTGTCACACTGTAACGAGGTGTCACACTGTAACGAGGTGTGA